GAGCAGACACTTTATATGGTGGGAGCAGGAGCAAAGAAAGAGTGAGGGCAGAGGTGCTACACACTGTTAAACAGCCAAATCTCATGAGAACCCATTTACTATTATAGCAAGAGGATGGTGATTAAACCATTTATTATAAATCCGCCCCCATGATACAACCACAGGACCCCGCCTCCAACGTTAGGGAAGCAAAATCACATAAAGATGTTGTGACAGTTGGGACATCCTGAAAACCTCACTTGACAGTCCCACATCGCCCTGGAGCTGTCTCAGGGGAGCAGTCTCTTCAGTGTTTAGAGGCACAGGCACAGATGCTGAGTCTAACTCTGTCCCGGTGTGTGATATTGGACACGCTGCACAACTGCTCTGTGCTATGTGTAATTTATCTTCTCTAAAAATGTGACACTGACACTTGCATTAAAGATATTCTGTAAATATATAAATATAAAATAAGATGATGATTCCTGAATAATTATCAAGGCACAATCAGATAATCTGAAGTTATACTTTCCTGAGACATAGGATTAGGTCCGGGGTTTTCCAGGACACTCTCATCTGCTCTGGGCCCTGCCCTCTGCTTAGCTGCCCCACCTGAGAACTTGCTTTGTAGCAGGAGACATGCAAATAGGGCCCTCCCTCTGCTCATAAAAGCCAGCCCAGTCCTGACCCTGCAGCTCTGGGAGAGGAGCCCAGCCCCAGAATTCCCAGGTGTTTCCATTCAGTGATCAGCACTGAACACAGAGGACTCACCATGGAGTTTGGGCTGAGCTGGGTTTTCCTTGTTGCTATTTTTAAAGGTGATTTATGGAGAACTAGAGATACTGAGTGTGAGGGGACATGAGTGAGGGGAACAGTGGGTATGTGTGGCAGTTAATGACAAGGGTGTCTCTGTGTTTGCAGGTGTCCAGTGTGAGGTGCAGCTGGTGGAGTCTGGGGGAGGCTTGGTCCAGCCTGGGGGGTCCCTGAGACTCTCCTGTGCGGCCTCTGGATTCACCTTCAGTAACTACTGGATGCACTGGGTCCGCCAGGCTCCAGGGAAGGGTCTGGAGTGGGTGGGTTTTATTAAAAACAAAGCTGATGGCGGCACAGCAGAATACGCAGCGTCTGTGAAAGGCCGATTCACCATCTCGAGAGATGATTCAAAGAACTCGCTGTATCTGCAGATGAGCAGCCTGAGAGCCGAGGACACGGCCGTGTATTACTGTGCAAAAGACACAGTGAGGGGAGGCCCGTGTGAGCCCGGACACAAACCTCCTGCAGGAACGCTGGGGGGCATCAGCGGCAGGGGGCGCTCAGGAGCCACCGATCAGAGTCAGCCCCAGAGGCAGGTGCAGATGGAGGCT